CTTTGCTACCTGAAGTGGAGGAGTTTTGGTATCTTGGGGTTTTGCTCATGAGTGAGGGAAGAATGGAGCATGAGACTAACAGATAGATTAGTGCATCCCTACATTCCTACCCACACCCTTGATCTCAAACTTTGGGTAGTGACCAACAGAAAAAGATCTCAGGTTGTCCAAACAAGTTTTCTCTGCAGAGTATGGGCAGGGTAAGACAGGGAAAGAAGGTTGGTTCTTTGGGAGGGACTTGGAGTTGAGCTGCTCCTCCACATAGAGGGCAGCCARTTAAGGGGGTTGTGCATCTGCTAAAAGGCCTGTCTTGAGAGGTTTCTGGGCATGTCCAAGTGGGAGGAGACCCTGAGGAAGACCCAGGACATATGTCTCTCAGCTGGAATGAGAACATCTTGCAGTCCTGCTAGAAGAGCTGGAAGAGGTAAGTTTTGGACCTGATGTCTGAGGTTCACAACCTGACCTCAGAACAAACAGCAGATAATGGATAAAAAGATAGATGAAAGGATGAATTCCTCATCATRAGATGATCTGAGTCTAAAGCCCTGGCATGATAGGCGTCAGGCATTATGAATTCTTTAATTGATTTAACRTTTTACCAGCTGTGTAGTAACAATAACTCTTCTCTAAGATGTTTATTTATTGAGCCCTCTCCCTACAAAGGAATTWCATTAACCTTTTATTTTTCTGAAGAGAAAGTCCTGAGATGARACATTTATCGATTTGCCTGACTCATGACAAAGGATGATGCAGAAAAAGACTGAAGATTACAGCTTCACAAAGCAAAGAGTCAATATTTTCCAACGTGAACAGTACATAAGAAATGAGTGAAACAGGCAGATGTTGGATCWGTGCTGTGCTTTAATTTAGAGCTTTACTTTCTGAGTGATGAAATGTGCTGATGTAGAGTTGGTCCACTCACTGTCAGACTGAGACAATAAAAACCTGTTTTTTATACAGCAATCTCAAATTGTACCATACATTTTTTATGAATTAAAACTGTCCCTCCTGCTTAAAATACAAAAAGTTAGAACGAAAGAACAGGCATTCCTTGAAGGTATGTATATTATATTACCTTTCATGTCAGATTTTTAGACTAAGACCATCTTAGGATGAGAAACGATGAGTGTGAGTGTTTCTGTCAACCTTTGAAAAATACAAATATGTGCAATCTCATGAAAAATACTGGTGGCTCAAAAGATCTCGCAGAATTTGTTAAATACATGTTGTGAATGAATCTAAGCTAATACCACACCAAGTTTTAGCTCAGTATCAGCAAACTTCACTGGGGTGTTTAAAAAAGGGTCTTTATTGGTCATCAGTGTATGTTTCCACACAATGATGAAATTTGTGCTCTGCATTTGACCCATCCACACCCAAGTGGAGCAGCGGGCAGCCATGTGAGGCGCCAGGGGGGCAGTTAGGGTTGGGTGTCTTGCTCAAGGACACCACGACATGTGGGCATGGTGGGGAGTTCAACCTAAGACTTTCAGGTCCCAAGCCGGCTGCTCTACCACTACACCACAGCCGCCCCCTGTTTGCTAAGGTCATGTAGCTGTGGCAGCCATGTTTAAAGGGATCCCTTATTAGTTGTAACATTAGACTTTATTTAATAAACATTTATTTTAACTGTAAAATAAAGACTGTAAAAACACTGTAGGATGTTAAATTTTTATCATTTTAGACCATTTTCCATATTTTCAGTTCCAGGCTGAGTCATTTCTACCTTCTCCTCTCTGTCAACGCTCTCTGGTTTCATTTAAAAGAGT